GAAACAAAACTTGAAAAAACTAAAGGAGAAATAGACTAATCCACAGATTTAAATCAGATGATGTAAAGTCTTTGTTGAATGAGTTCAGTGTTTGGGGTACCTTGGGGATAATTTGTGTTGATTGATTTTTGTTTTGTTTTGTGTATAAATCATATATTCTTGTTTCTTTGCAGGTCTTGTAATTTTGTGTTGAATATTGGTCATTTAAAATAACATACAGATGTTCCTTGACTTACAATGGAGTTATGTCTTGATAAACCCATTGTAAGTTGAAAATATTGTAAGTGGAAAATGTATTTACTACACTTAACCTACTGAACATCATTGTTTAACCTAGCCTGCCTTAAATTGTGCTTAGAACATTTAATCAGCCTATAGTTGGGCAAAATCATCTAACACAAAGCCTATTTTACAAGAAAATGTTGAATATCTTATGTACTGTATTGGATACTATGCTGAAAGTGAAAAAGGGAATGATTGTTTGGGTACTTGAAATATGGTTTCTGCTGACTGTGTTTTGCTTTTGCATGATTGTAATGTGAAAAAACTGTAAGTTGAACCACTGTAGGTTGGGCCTGTCTGCACCTGTCATGTGGCAACTCCGGAAATCCAATTCTCCCCTTTGCCAGGGCTGTGTGTTGTTGGTCTTTGCTGTCATTTTTTTTAAATTTGTTTAGTTACATTTCTGAACTAATTATGCTACATTTGTATTCTTTGTTGTGTGTGGCTACTGAACTGTCTGCTCTGTTCGCTTGCATTCAGCTGTTGTTGGGCAGAGATTTCACTAAATGGCTGGAATGATAAGTCTCCCAGTATTTTCTGGGTCTCTGTGTGCGTGTCGGCCTTGTCTTCTGTAGTCATCCAGGCAGTAGGCTACTCTGCCTTAGACTTCATTTCCTGCTGTGCAGAGCCCCAAAGTCAGCCAGAGGTGAGGGATTAGGGCCTTCTCAGACCTTTTGTGAACATGCACACAGCCCTATGCATGTGCTTGGACTTGTAGATTCCCAGGAATATGTCAGAGCTTTTCTTAAGAATTTAATTATGCTATTGTTTGCATCAACGGTTATTTCCTTCCTCAGATTGCCAAGACAGTAAATGTTGCCTGTAATTTCATCTTTCTAAATGAGCCATTGAAACTACCTCACCCATCATCTTGTTATTTTTTTTTTTCTTTTACCAAAAATTGGGAAGTTGGGTTATAGAGGAGGAGGGAAGGAGGAAGGCATGGGCAGTGTGGGCTGCTGGCTGTCAGTGTGGCCCTCTTGCTGTTTGGTCCTCTCCCCAGCCCTGCTTCCAGGCCGCCTGGATGCCCCACTGCAAACCTTGCAGGGCGGGCTGTTGGCTCTGCTCTTTCACACAGGCAGGCAGTCAGGGAAAAGACCTGCTTCTCAAAGGAGCAGTCCATTCTGGACGGCTGTAGACATGGGAAAGTGGTGGTGGTTGTGCATGTGAGACTTACTCCCCATTGCCCTGGGGTGACCTGTGGATGAGCTGCCCAGATTTTGATTTCATGTGAGACGTTTCTGACCTTGGAACTCACGGACTGCCTTTTGAAGTGACTTCTCCATTACTAGGTGGAGAAGGAGGAATCAAACCAATCTTGAATATTCTCTTGTCTGGGAATCTGCAGAACAGTTTTGGGGGAGAGGACAGACTGGACTCCAGGTGACTAGCTTGAGGCCACACAGTGGGATGGGAGACCAGATGCCATGTCGGGGGCTGAGCCCTGAGCTCCTTGTCAGGAGTCCAGACTGAAAGATGCTCTCACTAAACACCTATCCAACAGAGGAAAATAAACCACCAAAGAGAAATTAAGAGAAATGAACTCACAACACAACTACCCTTTGTTTAACTAAAACACATGTGGCCTCACTTGTCATCTCTGAGTTCTTTCTCAGCCTTGAAAAAGTTCTTGAGCGGACAGTAGGACCACAAGCTTCCCCTGCTTCCTCAAGAAGAGGCAGTACCAGATGCCTCCTGCTATCAAGGAGAAAGGAGAAACCAATTTCCGCATCAGTCCGCTACGTGAGAAAAAGAAGGAGCCAACACAGCAGCTTCACATCCGCTTTTGTTATCAGTCCCTGTAGCAGAGGAAAAAGGCCATTTCTACGCTTTAAAAGCACCAAGCAACTTTCCTTGCTGCCTGACATGTCTTTCCTCCCTCTGTGTGTCATGGCCCCCCCACGTCTCTCTCTATCTCTCTCTTTCTTTCTTCCTCAGGAAAATAAATGAACATTTACTTTTGTATATCCTAATCACTATCAGAGAATTCTTCCTACCCCGCGCACAGACTTCGCACCCTAACACAGACCTTGTCCTTTGATTAGCTGGGTGGCCTTTTACAGGTCACATAATCCCCCCAGGACTCCGGTTTCACATCCATTAAGTGGGTTTAATACACAGTGACCTGACTACCTTGAGCCATGGGACCAGCCTGCAGATCCCTGCCTTGGGGGTGTTCTGCCTGGGCAGCCACGGGAGAAGCCTCAGCGTGGAGGAGAAGGTGGCACTGCCCAGTGGTTAGGGGGATGGTGCAGCTCCCCATGGTAATGGGAGGTGGAGCTCTTGAATACTGTGGGCTGCCCAGGTTTGGAGAGAAGAGACCAGGGCCTGAACCTCAGTAGGTGGTGGTGAGTTTGAGCCAGCTGAGGCTGTGACCAGAGGGAGTGTGTACTTCTCTATCCTACTCCTCTGAGAAAGCAGGATCAGGGCTGGCAGAAGCTTAGGAGGAAAGTCATGGTTCAATCCAGCCAATAGCCTGTCAGCTTCTGTGGGGGTTTGGCTTTGCCTGGAGTGTATGGAGAGGATGACTAGCATTAGTGGCAGCTGAGGGAGCCATATGGCTGTCAGCAGAAGGTAAATGTTAGTATTTGCATAGAGACTGTGCACAGTTAACACTCTCCACAAAGAGCTTTGTTCTTTTGCTCACAGCTTCTTAGGCAATAGACTTTGTTGACATTTTCAACAGTTGACATTTTAAGGACAGAACAGGACTTGGACTTACTGAATGGGGTATGGACAGAGGAAAGCCACCAAACTCAGGAGGACCCTAGCTCAGCTTTGCTGTAAGAGAGTGATTTCTTGGTGACCAGGGTAGCCTGGGGCAGAGCTGTGAACCCAGGTAACCATCAGGGGAGGGCATGTGTGAGAGCACCAAGCTGGCTGTGACCGCAGGGAGGGGGGCCTGGTCAACATGATATCAGGTACATCACAGCATGAGGTTATACTAGGTCATTAAATGAAATGTTCGATTTCAAATCAAAAGTTTCATTTATTATATCTTAAACAAGAAGCAGTACAATTAATCAAAGTAGCACCTAAACTATGGACACAGTTTTGCCATCTTAATGGTAGCTTGTTCCAGCAGTTAAGAAGCCTGGAGAACGAGTGGCAATGAAATAGAAAAAGGCGTTTTCCACAGCTTGTTGAGAATTGAATATTTTTCCTTGCAAGAAGTGGTCCAAAGCCTGGAAGAAATGTTAGTCAGTTGGTGCAAGGTCTGCTGAATATGGTGGATGACAGAGAGTTTACAAGTCCAGCCTCTGTAGTTTTTTTTTTTTTTTTTGAGACAGAGTCTCACTCTGTTGCCCAGGCTAGAGTGCCATGGCATCATTCTAGCTCACAGCAACCTCAAATTCCTGGGCTCAAGTGATCCTTCTGCCTCAGCCTCCCGAGTAGCTGGGACTACAGGCGTGCGCCACCATGCCCGGCTAATTTTTTTCTATATATTTTTAGTTGTCCAATTAATTTCTTTCTATTTTTAGTAGAGACGGGGTCTTGCTCTTGCTCAGGCTGGTCTCGAACTCCTGAGCTCAAACAATCCGCCCGCCTCGGCCTCCCAGAGAGCTAGGATTACAGGCGTGAGCCACCGCGCCCGGCGAGCCTCTGTAGTTTGAGCAGCATTGTTTGTGCAACATGTGGTCGAGCATTGTCTTGCAAGAGGATTGGCCTGTCTCTATTGACCAATCTCGGCTGCTTAATCGCAAGTATCCTCATCATTTCATCCAGCTGGTTGCAGTAGACATCTGCTGTAATTGCTTGACCAGGTTTCATGAAGCTGTAGTGGATAATACCAGCGTTGGACCACCAAACACACACCATTAGCTTTTTTTTGATGAATATTCGGTTTTGGACTTTGTTTTGGCACTTCATCTTTATCTAATCATTATGCTGAATGCTTGTGATTGTCACAAAGAATCCATTTTTCATCGCACGTAACAATATGGTGTAGAAATGGTTCATCTTCATGTTGTGACAGCAAAGAAAGGCAAGCTTTGAGATGATTTCTCTTCTGACGCTATTTTAATTCATGTGGTACCCATCTATCCAGCTTCTTGACCTTGACGATTTGTTTCAAATGGTACAATATTGTTGGAATAGTAATACCAAACCTTGCTGCTAATTCATGCATAGGTTGAGATGGATTCGCTTCCACTAAAGCTTTCAGCTCATCATTATCCACCTTGGTCTCAGGTCACCCACATGGCTCATTTTCAAGATTAAACTAACCGGAATGGAACTTCTCAAACCATTGATGTACTGTGTGTTCATTAGCCACATCCTTCCCAAATACTTCATTGATATTTTGAGCTGTCTATACAGCATTAGTTCCACAATGGAACTCATATTTGAAAATAACATGAATTTTTGCCTCATCCATGGTTTCACGAAAATTGCTCTAAAAAGAATTTTGAAAGATAATCACAAGCCAAACTGTGCATCTGAAAGAAGGAGGATGTACCTTCACAATAAAAATAAAACAAGAAGAGTCAAAGTGAAATGTCAGAGATATCAACTGTCAAACTTAGAACTTAAGGAAGTCAGTCATTTCATACTTGATAACTGAATACGTTTCTCTGTAAATGCTGAATGCTCTATCTCTAGCCTGATGGGCTGTCCCCTAGTAGTAACTTGCTAGTCCCGCCCTTGGGGTGGGAAAGCTTGTGTAAGCTGGCTTCTTCCCCCTTCAATGTTTCCGCTGCAGCTGACCAGGCTCGCAGGCAGCCTGCCATGGGGCCCTGCTCAGAGCACCAGCCGCTTTGCTGGGCCACCAGTCTCCTGAGGTTCATCAGCTTCCTCCTCAGTGAGTAGCCTGGGGTCCCTGGAAGGCAGAACAATTGTGCGGGGCTGGGATAGCTGGGCCCCTGACCACTGGAAAGGCTGTTCTGGTTCTGATGTCTTCGGGAAACAGAAAGAGAAAACTACTCTATTCTATTTTGCAAATGCAGCATATTTGGCTATAGCCCAGGGTAAACAGAACGAATGAAATGGCCTTTTGGTGGTGAGCAGGCTGGGAGACCTGAGCTTGGGCAGCCTTGCAGGAATTAAAGGGACCTTAACTTGGGAGGGCGGGCCACTTCTGCTGCATTAGCCGGGAAGCCCAGAGAGCCTGGAACTGCCTAGGAAGAGGGATGCAGAGGGATAAAATAGCTGCCTCCTGGGGGGAAAGGGTTGAAATAGTGTACTGCTGGCCTGGAAGTCAGCGGTGTCCTGACAGTCTCTGCACTGTCCTGTGGAGGAGGGGGCAGAACTAGAACCCCAGTGTCTGAGCTGCACTGCAAGACGCTCCTCCGGTCTGGGCTGCTTGAGCTGCACTGAAAAGGAGAGTGGCGGTGCACTCCTCTGCTTGGGGCTCAGCTCCAGGCAGATCATCTCAGAGGAGAGGCCCTTGGAAGTCTCAGGTTTATCTTAAAAGTGCTTGTGTAATTTGCATTAGTTTCCATTTGAAGATGTTAGAAAGGATTTGCCTTCTCAGGTAAAACAAATCCAATAGACTGTGCCCTTTCTCATGCCTGTGGGTGGCCTTTCCCTCCACCCTGAAATGCTGCTCAGCCTCTGGAGACCTGGGATGAAACCAAGTCTGTTGCAGCAGCGTTCTGGGGAAAAACCCTGCGGGGGGGGGGAAAAAAGAGGAGGCGCCCAACAATCGGGAGTGACTGAAGAAACTGAGAATATGTGTACCATGGAGTATTACGGAGGCCTAAAAATGTAGATGTTCCAGTTGTCTGGGAAGAATTTTCCGTTTTCATGAAGTAAAATGCGTGAATCCTCATCAGCAAGATTCAGGAAACTAAATACAATGAAATCTTCGTTTTATATAAAAAAAGCAGCCTCCAAAACTTAAGGGTGTCTATGCACCCGCATGTTTATAAGAACATGCTAAAGACACGGAAGAGCGAGTAGATTGCTAAAATGGGCTAGAGGAGGGCATGAAATTGGAGAGGAAAAAAGGGAGAGGAAGAAAGTAGGATGACCTGATCCAGGCTGTACATCATACTCATTGCTTTATGAAATATATGTTCATGTGTATAATGAGATGAAATAAAAGCTAATGAAAAAATAAGTCCTAGTAAATACGAATTTTTGTGAAAGCTTTTATTGTTAATATTTTTGTTTTAATATTTCAGCCACTGATTGAACTGGAAAGGAAGTATATGAAATCTAATGGATTAAAAAGCACTTGTAAAACAGGACTTCTTGAAGCAAAGATGAGCTTTGCAATAGCAATGAGTTAGATCCCGTGTAAATAGGTAACTTCTTGTCGACAGCAAAATGTAGGCTTTCTCCACTTCCACAATGTTGTTAGCTTGGAGAAATATGTTCAATTGTATAGTTTTCTCTGTAGGCACTGGGGGTGGAGGAATACTAAAGAAACAAAGAAAAAGAAAGAAAAAATGGAAGGAAGAAAGGGAGGGAAGAAGGAAAGAAGGAAGGAAAAAAAAAAAGGACTTAGAATTCCTAATTGTAGGGATAGGCTGTCTGTGTCCAGATAATGAAAGTGATTCTCTCGAAGTCACACAGGAAGTGGGGAGGAATGAATTTGGTTTTCCCGTTAGGCCTGACCTCCATGGTAGTCAATGAGACAGACCCCTAGCAGTGGAGTTTGGACAGAGGCCGTCCTCAGAAGGAACATCTCCCAGAAACTGCTCTATAGCAATTTATGGAGCTCCACAGCTGGATGCATTTCTTCTTGGTTTTGGGTTGTCCCGTGTTCAAGTTCACCCTTGCCTTGGGGAGGGATGGGTGGAGAAGGAGTGTTGGTGAGGGAGATAATGAAGAGTTTGCCCTTATCGTTCTTAGAACCCTGAACCCTTCCTGGATGTGTGCTTGGAAGGGGACATGGGAAGGCAGGTGGGAGCCTGAGGGGGGCTCAACTCACACTGCACTTTCCCAGAAACGCAGGCAGCCGCCAGTGATGGTGGCCTCCACTGTGGGGACTGCCTCAGCCTGACCGTAACGGCATTTACTGAGCGCCCACCCGGTGTCTGCTGGCAGGGAGCTGGAGAAGAAAGGCTCTGCATATGGCTGCAGGGACACGGGGCCAGTGGAGACAGCACCAAGACATGGAGTCTGGGTGTCACACCGGAGTTGAGAGGGCACTGCTGTTGGTTTGTGAGTGTGGCGACGGAGGATGTGTCAGACAAATGAACAAAACTTTATGTTGATGACTGAGTGTTAAATTTTATATGATTTAAATGGATTTTTGTCTCTACCTTGTATAATGAATGACCACATGCTCCCCGGCTTGTCTTTTCTTCTTCAGGATTAGCATTTTTGTAGACCTGAGAGCTCCTTGTGCCTTCCTTCCCTCTTCTTTATCTTCCGTGCAGCTGTGCTCCCCACCCACCTGCTGGCGCAGATCCTCCTGCCTGAGGTTCCTTCTTCCAGGAACTGGGCAGTTTGGCCAGGCTGGGTTTAACCCTTAGCTGGCCAGAAGCCGCTGCTCAGCTAAGCCGCTCAAAGTACTTGCTTCCCCTTCCCAGGAGAGGGAAGTTGAGTTTGAAACTCCAGCAGCTGCTGGGTCCCTGGTAGCATCACACAGGGCAGGGAGGGGCTGAGCAGGGAGGGGCTGAGCAGGGAGGGGCTGAGCCTGGGGAGGAGCTGGCAGTGCTCATAGGCCCCGTTGTGTAGGGGAAGCCCTGGGCTGGGAGAGGAAACTGGGTGCCAGGTCTGGCTCTGCCCTGCGTAGGCCAGGACAACTCCAGCCCCCAGGTTTCCCCCTCCTTTTTAAAAGGAGGGGCTTGGGCATATCATGTCTCAGGGCCCTCCCCACCGTGACATTCTGGATTCAGTGACTCTGCCCAGACAGGACTCTCCTGTGGCTGAGTGAAGGCCTCTGCTCTGTCTCTCCCATGCTGTCCTGGCCCATTCCTGGGGCCCAACAGGGACTGAGAGCTGGTGAGCCTGTTTAGGGCTCCCTCAGAGCGACAACCCCTGGCAGTCCCTGTGGCCACTTCCTCAGCCCTTAGGGGAGGAAGGGGATCCTCCTCTTCCAGCCTCCTCCACCTGACCCTCTGCTTTCTCTGCCTCTGCTCCTGAGAGGGGCGTTGGGGGCCACTGCCCTCAGGCCACCTGCTGAAGGACACTGTCACCCTCCCAGTGTGTGGCAATGCGGTGTGCAGACCGCACTCAGGAAGGCAGCTGTAGCTGGGCTTTTAGAGGCAGCAAATAAAAGCCTCAGCCAGACCTTTTCATTCCTGTCTGTTTAGCAGAAAATACTAGTTTATTTCTCCATGAGCCTTCTTACAATGCTGGAAGAGAGAAAGACAAACGCTGTTTTCACCAGAATTGTCTGTGAAAATGCCATAGGAAGGTTTCCCCTTTGGAGAATGAAATAGTGTCCCAGCAAGTCCAGTTGTCCTGTGTTTCCCCTTGGAAATGGCTGTTTTTTTGAGCCTACATTAAACGGAGCACGTATGCTTGGTGTCCATTGTCGTACCAAGAATTGTATATTTGAACATGTAATTAACTCTGAATGGCGTGACTGACCGAGATGTTAAAGGATACTTGTATTTTGCTCATGAATTAATGAGGGAACCAGTGGGATGTCACAAAGGGAGAATGGAAGAAGGCCCGCAGGAATGCCAATATGGTCACCAATAGATGCCCTGCGTTCACACAGGTGTATGTATTTGTGGGTACAGAGGTGAATGTCTGGAGGGTACACGGCGTTTACATGCTTTCCTTTGGGATGAGGCACACTTTGACCTTTCCCTTTAAGCAGCTGCATATCCTGTAGAATAGTTTTTGATATAACATATAATACTTTCATGAATAAATTACAACACAGCCTATTAAGGACAGGGGAAAATGAACAAACCAAATAGAGTTAACAATACAAAATTTATTTAGGCCAAGCTTGGGAAAACAAGTATTCTGCCCTTGCCTTTATCTTTACCACTCTCCCGGCTACACAGATGTCCTCAGCTCCTTGGTAACGCTGGGGTTGATGACGGCTGTGTGTGGACACAGACAAATGAATTTGGTTTTAAACTCAGGGCTTTGGTAAACAGGAACTGGACTTTGACACCCTGCAGCCACCTATGGAATTGAACCTACAGATACTTCACTCCCTGGAACCCCTCCTGTTCCCAGGAGGGGACCCCTGAGAGGGACAGCTGCGGGGGAGGGAAGGACACCAGCCTGGGAACTGGGAACGTCTGGTTCTGCCACAGGTGTGCTTGGGCACATGTACTCATCAAGATAAGAGAGCAGCTAATATTAATAGAACAGTTATTGAATCCTGTGTGAAAACTTTTCTCCATTTAGGTCCAAAGAATAGTCCAATGAGGTATGGCACTATTATTATTTCCATTTCCCAGATGAGAAAGCCGAAGCCAGAGAGGTTAAATAACTGCTCAAGTTCACATAGCCAGAAAGTGAAGCCCCTGGACTTAAATGTCACTGACTGTAAAGTTCAATCTTCTGACCACTCTGTTATACCATCCAACTATGTCACCTAGCTGGCTGCAAAGTAAATTTCAGGTGGATGTACCAGATTTGTGGATGTACTGGTAAACATGAAAATTAAAATCATAAATGTACTTGAAAACAAGAGAGAATTAAAACCCACTTTTGAAGTGGGAGCTATGTTTTTAAGCAAGATATAAAATTAAGAAGCCATAAAAAATTTAATATCTTTGACTTCATGAAAATGCCCTTTTGCCAAGGCAAATAGTCCCTAGGTGAAGGTCAAACAAAAAACTGTAAAAAATTATATCACGTATATTGGAGAAAAGGCTAATTTTTACAACATAGACCTAACTCATAGAAACTAATGGAAAAAAATGAGAAAGGATATTA